TAATTCCGTAGGCACTATTTATATAATTATATTAAAATTATACCTAATATTTAAATCTTACATCATTTACTCGCCCGACGCTAAGTATCGGGCGATTGCTAGAATTGCGATGATGGTTCCCATGCACATTAGGTACAGCACCCCGTTCACGCGGGTTTCGGTCCAGTACTCTTCCTGTTCATCGGCTGTTTCTTCAACCGCAGGTGTTTCCATGGGGCGCGATTCGGGGTCCGGTGTCTCCACCGTCCAGTGGTCTACTAGGGGAGTTAGCTCCCCTCCGATTAGGACCAACCCGATCATGGTGATTGTGATTACGATTGTCACGGCCACCCAGTCTCGAAAGCCTAGGCTTCCTAGTCTCTGGTCGGCCTGGTATTTAATGATTTTGTATAGTTTGATCATGTTAATCTATGTGTTTCTATTTGTTTAGTCATCCAGCTATTACAACTGTGTGAAATCTTGAGGAAGTCCTTGACCATTGGACTGAGGTTTAGCACGAAACAGTGAAGTCTCGTCCCGGCCGCAGGACGGCTGTAACGGTGCTTGTTATTTATTATGTTAAAAGGTCTGGGGCGGTATTACACAAAGGCTTCCGCCCGGAAAGAAAGAAGGATTTGAAGGATGGGGGGGTGATCCGATTGAAACCGAACCTAGAGTTCACCACGCTGGAGTCGTTCGAAGCGTTAATGAATATGACCCTTCGGCGACGGTGGATCAAGATATGATTAATTTCTTATGTTCTATTTCTAATAATAATCCTATTACTTTTAAAGTTTTAAGATCTTTTATTCAATGTGTATTATTAAGAGATAATCAATTTCAAGTTGCTCTTTATTTACATGGGCCAGGAGGAACAGGTAAAAGTACCTTTGAAAAATTATTAACTAGCTTAGTGGGTAATACAAATTCAACAGTATTAAATATTTTAGATTTAAATAAACAATTTACAACATCTAAAATTCTGGATTAATCTTTAGTTTTATTCTGTTATGTTCAATTTTATACCGGAGATCCCTCCAAATTAAGACTATTAATTTCAGGAGATTTAATGAATGCCGAAAGAAAATATAAGGACTCATTTGATCTTCAACCAGAGGCTTTAGTAATTTTATCTAGTAATTTATTATGGTCACCAAAAGATTCCTCAACTGGTCTTCAACGAAGATTTTTATATCTTAAAGTTAATAAATCTCCAAATATTGTTGATCGAGATTTATTTAATATTAAGAATAACCAATGTTCAGGACATTTATATGATAATTTACCTGGAATTATTAATTGGGTTTTAGAAACAACTCCCGAAGAATAAATTTCTTAAACCAATAGACTGTCGATATTAACCATATTCTTTGTCCTGGACTAAACGCGGAAATTAATCCTTTACTCCAATGGATCCAAGATTCTCTAGAAATTGGAGAGGGATCTTCCGCTCCAGTTGGAACTAAAAAACAGGATCCTACTAAATATTTATATCCTAATTATTATAAATTATGTATGGACCAAGGAGTTGCTTCATTAAGTATTATGGATTTTTCTAATGCTTTACTGCAACAATTAAGTTTATTCTATAAAGATATAGAATTTAATAAGAAGAGAACTAAAGAGAGTACTTTAATCTCTAATATTAAATTAATTTCTTCTAAATAAACCCCCCTAATGTAGCCCAAGTAATTAATTACAATTGGCCCGTCCTAAGCCGGTAATACAGAAGGGGGGGGTTTATTTCCTAAAAGTTAAAAGTTTAATGGTTTAGTCTCCACCTCTCCACCAATATGAAAAATACCTCACATCTTGAATATTTAAGTCTGCACCAGGTGTCCACCAGGTGTCCACCATTATAACCTTTATTAATATTTAATTGTTGGGGCTATTTTTCAGGAACGGGGCTATACCCGATTGGGCTCCTCGCCAAAGCTCGGCTTCCCAATAGGGCAGGGGCTTAGCCCGCCGTTCCGCCTTAGTGTACTCTATTGTTTAATTAAATAAGCAAAAACTTTTGAAAAAGGTCTACATAGTCTACATAGTCTACATTATTAATTAGGACAGAGGGTTTTCGCGGGCATTTGGGTAATAAAATCCTTTCTTTCATGTAGACCTACAGGTTAGGGTCTACATTTAACAGTACTGTTAAATCCAGTTGGAATTAAATTTAGACACTCCTCTTCTTAATTATAAAGCTCTGTATAACCTCCGCCTCTTCTGTATTAGCCGGCTTAGAACGGTCTAAATTTAATTTAGGCTACATTAGGGGGGTTATTATTTATATTACTTAAGAATCCTCTGTAAAGCCATGGAATTCTTCCATGATTGAACTAGCAGAGTCCTCTCCAGGATTTTTAAAATCCTCTTCTAAGATAGGTTGGTTATTTAATTTTAAGTGTTGGATCACAACGCCCTGAGTAATTTCACTTTTTTTGAATAGCAGGGTTAATTAAAACATTTAATTGTTGTAATAAGACCGTTGTAAATAAATTAAAACTTAATGGGGAAAACCCAAAATCTTTACAGAACCCTAAATAATGGGGATATAGATGAGTCTCGGGGTTAGAAGTTTTTTTCCCAACACTTACTGCTCCCCCTTGTTCGTAGGTTAAATATGTTTTAACCCAAGAGATTAGAGGATTTGACTCCTCAAGGATTCTAGGGTTAATTAGATTATTAGTAGACACGGCGTTGTCTAATAATTTTAAGTTTTCGGGATTATTCCCTAGGGCCCAATTTACTAAGCCGGGTAAAGACTTATTCAGTTTACCCGACCCTTGATTTGTAACCATGTCGTAAGAGAATAAACCTCGATCAACTTTCTCAGGGATTGTTGTTACAGGAACATAGATAATTCTTCTTTGGAGCCCCGTTGAAGTATCTTTAGGGGACCAAATCGTATTACTAGATAAAACAACCAAATAGTTTTGAAAAAATAACCAAATAGTTTTGAAAAAGGTCTACACTGTCTACACAGTCTACATAATATTCGTGTATTTTGTATTAAACCGAAGGGGTTTAAACAAATGGTCTAAGTATGACGGGCGCTATGCGCCCGATACATTATTTTTATATTTCTTCATCTCTCTCTGAAATATGAGTTTTACATATTTTTTCTTTATTTTCTTCGGGTCTTAATCTTTAAATTAAGACCCTTTTTTTAGAAAGGGTTTAAAGGAAAGGGAGGGACTTATTGTCCCTCCGGTAATAACCATTCAGCCACTCGTTCCCGAACGGCTACCTTGTTATGACTTCAGACCAGTCGTTCACTATCCTTGGATGTCTTTAGACAACTTCAGGTATAGCTTACTCCCAGCCCGTGACAGGCAGTTAGTAGATCTTGAAGCTTTAATTTCACCGTGACGTGGTGATTCACGATTACTAGCAATTCCTAATTCATGAGCTCGAGTTACAGAGCTCAATCCACAAAGGGGAAATTTGGGGATTACCTCCAAGTTACCGTGATTGGATCCTTTTGTATTCCCCTTAGCTGCACGTCTGTAGCCCACTCCATAAGGGCCATGAGGGCTTGTCTTAGTCCTAATTATTCCAGTTTATCACTGGATGCTCAACTAGATATTAACTAGTCGCAAGGGTTTTGTTCGTTATGCGGACTTAACCTTACATCTCACGACACGAACTGAAGACAGCCATGCAACGCCTGTGTAGCATTCAAGGAGTGGTAAGATGTTGTGCGGATCATCACATTAAACAACATGCTTCACTGCTGGTTTTCAAGACCCTCTATACTTTTGGGTTTCAACCTTGCGGCAGTACTCCCCAGGTGGAGTGCTTTAATCTTCATTTATAGACTGATTAATAACCAATCTAAGGCACTCATCGTTTACGGTATGGACTACACGGGTCTCTAATCCGTTTTGCTCCCCATACTTTCGTACCTCAGCGTCAGTGTTTAGTTAGAAAGAAGCCTTCGCCTTAAGCGGTCTTCCGAGGATCAACAGATTCCATCCCTACTCTCGGAGTTCCTCTTTCCTCCATTACACTCTAGTTTCATAGTTACTGGAAAACTCTTATTCATTTAGTTCGATACCTTCCAGTCTTATGATACAGCCTACGTACCCTTTAGACCCATTAATGATGAATAATGCTTACCCCTCTCGTATTACCGCGACTGCTGGCACGAGATTGGTCGGGATTAATAGGAAAGTACAGTCATTATCCTCCTTTCCGTTAGGACTTTATCAAATTAATGTATCCGTCCTTCTAGGTGACTGGTTCAGCCTTTCGGCCATTGACCAAGATTCCGCACTGCTGCCGATACTTTGCTCGTGTGGGCCTTTCTCATTCCCACTGTGGTTGATCATCCTCTCAGACCAACTATAGATCATTGGCTTGGTAAGCCGTTACCTTACCAACTACCTAATCTATTCAATAGGTACATCCATAGGCGGAATTAATCCTTTCTTAATAAACCCGCGCAAAACGCAGGTTCTATATTTGGTATTCCACCAATCCTATGGGTAGCTTGCCTATTCATTACTCACCCGTTCGCCATGTTCAAACACAAGTGTTTGGCATTCGACTCGCATGTGTCAAGTCCCTAGATAGCATTCACTCGAAACTAAGTTTAAATTTTTACTTACTTTTCTAATTTGGAAGGATTTTAGATCCTAGAACTCAGGGTTTCCCTGAATCTTAGGTCCAAGAGGCTTGGCCCCCTGTTGATTCTTTTTTTTATTTTATATATAAAATAAAAAATATTAGAAATTAAAATCTTATTTGTTACTTATATTTTACTAAATATAATTATTAGTGTACATCTGGCCTTCAGTTAGGGGTATAGATATAGAGATCAAGGGAGTTTTATAAGCACATTTCTCATTTTCAGGCCCCAGCTGACAAGCTGCATGGGGGGGGTATCCATATTCACAAATAATAAAATATAATCTACCACTAATAGGAAGAGATAATATTATTATTATCTAATTGTATCCCAAAATATAATTATCTCTTTCCATAAGAGATTAGAATTTTAGGTAACAAGGAAGAGATTAGGTTCTTTCCCCAAGAACACTTGGAAGTTCCTGCTCTCATCTTTCCTTCCAAGAGATATTTTAAATATCATCTCTATTTAAGAAGAGAAAAAAAGTTTACAATATGACAAAATTTACATTTAAATATTTAGATTATTCTCAAAAGAATATTCTATGGTTTAACACTTCGTTAAGTGTTAAGTTTTATTCGACTGAATCTAAACAGTCAACAGATCAAATGAAGGAGAGTATTGCTCTCTCTTATACACATCAGATGTGTATAAGAGACAGGCCTGGGGGTACGGGGGGGGCCGTCCCGCGCCCCCCCGCCCCCCCACACAAAACAAAATAAAAAACAAG